ACCTCTTCGGAATTTTGAGAAGATAAAATGTTGTTTGTTTAAGTCCTCAAGAGTGGTAGTTTGCCACAGCAGCCACAGGACATGAACAGAGTGCCCAAGACAAGTTTTAAAACTAAATACATTACATGAAGTCTAATATTTAGGTTGGCCTTCCAAAAGGGGGGAAAAAAAAGACAATATATTACTTCATATTTCTCTTCAAGAAAAATATGAAGAGAACATGCTTAAATACCTGTAGGTTAGATGCGCTACCCTCAAACTCTCCAGTGATTAAACTCCACAAGTATCTCTTATATACAAATGTATGAAAACACATACATACACATCCTACATAAACACCAATGATCTAAATAGTTTATATCATATTTGCCCTTTGAGTAAAACATTCAGGAGATCATTATATTTCATTTATTAGTGAAGATGAGCAATTATTTGTATTTTATTTGTACATTTTTCTATTATCCTTACTTGTGGGGTTCTCCAGGAAATACAATGCTTGGTTACAAAGAAAACTTCTCAACATAAAAGGCACATTTCCATTCTGTGAATTTTCCTTTCAAAAGTTGAAATGCTTAAAGAATTAAAAATATTACAAATGTTGATAATACAAAAAGAAGGAATGTGAATGTTGTTGGTTATTAATATTCAGCAAGGAAAATAAAGAATGTAAACTTTAAAAATAGACTTTTGAATTATAAATCTACATGAAAATACTTCCCTACAATCTTTTATTTTTTTTAAAGAAAATAATGTTTCAATTGAATAAATTATGGATTAATATTACCCTGGTCTGGTATTTTTTCCAAAACAATAAAATTGCATCTATAAGTTCTTACATTTTGAACACAGTGTATATGTGCATACAATTACTTTCTTTATCCTGAAGGCACAATTGGTTATGTGTCTACAAGGCCACAGTGAGAGAACAGACATGTCCAGGAAGCAAAGGTATACATTATTCATTTATTTAATTCGGGTGTATTTGAAAAAAATTTAGGTATTAGGTAACTTTTAATGTGAAGTGCAAATATTTGGGATTCATTGAGTTAATTCTTAGTACTTATATAAAACTGTTTTTCAAAAGTAGTTTTCATTGTGTCCTAAAGACCAAATCAGGAAGGTGGCCAAATTGCACTCCTGGTACAAGAGGGAAATAGTTAGAACTCCCAAGTAACCCTTTCCTTAACTGTAGAATACAATTCTCTAAAATGTATGAAAGTTATTGGAACTCTGTTGCTAGGATGAATTTATCCAAAACTGGTATTTATGATCAAAAATGATTTATGATATGTGCTCAGTTCAAATGAACGTATAGAGCACTACAGGAGGTATTGCATTGTGGAGCTCTACAAAGAGCCTTCTTTCTTTCATTAACTTCCACTGCTGGTTGCTATGGCATCTGGTGACAACCATAAATTTTGGAAATTATCACCATCTGCCCCTGCCCCCTTCTAAGGTTGCACACAAGTCCAATCAGGCAACCAAAATAACAAACAAATAAAAACTCCATAAGCAATGTCAAAAAATTTTTTTTAATTATATATGCCTGCTCAAACTAAAGCTCCAAATGGTAACATATCTCAAATAACTTGAATGGAGATGAAGGAAATGTGGTCTGGAACACTGCGTTAGGTCACTCAGAGATTCTAATGTGGAAACAGCCTTGGTGTTGAAGAAGCGTATTAAAAGTTCATACAAAAAAAGCATTCCATTTTATGAAGTGTAAGAGGAAAAAATAAATAAATAAGTGAATAAATAAAATATACTAAAATATATAATATTAGAGCTGAGAAAACATTTTTTAAAAATATAAAAATAGTCATTTTCCCCCCCAAAAAAACAGATGCCTGCAAGAAAAAACTTTTATTTAATGCCAATATTTAATAGTTGAAAAGGAAAAAAATGAGAATATTATTAGGAACAAATTGATAGATTTTTATAAATTTGTCGAAATCAATGAATTTTCTGTTTCACAGGACATAGTCTGGCAACTTTGAAGGCAAATTTGCATCTGTTTTGCTTTTCAGTGGTAATACTGAGAGTACAAAATTACAGGTCAATGTTCCTAGGTGGGCTACAATTTACATCTTAAGAGATGTTTGAGATTTGTGGGTAGGGTTTATTTTCTACTTTTTTTGTGAGGTTTACATATTTATTTATTTGTTTTGATAGATTTAGAAACATGATTTCCAAGTCTTTTAAAGATATTGATATAACTATACAGTCTTGGAAACAAATTTTTTAAATTCTAAACTCACAGGTCAAAAACAGTAGAAATGTCATCAAACTGGTTTGATTAATGTCAACAATATTGATATATAACTCTCCATTGAGTTAAAAAAAATAACATACTTTATCTTTCCCATCTTAGGAAGAAAAAAATGACATTTCATTTTCTAAGGAAGTAACAAATGTAAGAAAAGAATGTAGCAAATAAAAATAAAGTCTTGGGACACAAAAGACTATATATTCATGTTGAATCATATTTCCCCAATAGACTAAGTTCCCCTTGGAAGAAAAGTGTTAACTCTTTTGAGAACTATACGATTTCTTTAACACCATTAGATTTCAAGTCAATGTTTTAAGACAGTAAATAATTCAGGGGATAGAACTATTCTATGTTCCCTAAAATCTAAATTTCTCCAGCTAGAAAACTTTTATGTAAAGAGAGCAATCATATTGAATATATTAAGATAACATAATTCGTGGGCAATAGTCAAATTTCTGGCAGTTTTAAATCTTTGCACCAATCTCTGAAAGTTGAAAGTAAGTAAAATAGGCAAGAAGGAGCTCACCCTGTCTGAAGCCAGTCACTGAGCGCTACAGACCACTGACCTGGCCAAGACCCACTTGTCAATCAGGTTACTCTCCTGACGAGTCTCTTTCTTCATCCTTGTCGAGAACATGACTATATGAGCTCTTTTCAATATAAAGTTTAGTAAGCTTAAAAGATATTCTGGTTTCTGAGTTCATAAGATACTTGATAGTAAACTATTTATTGTCTTCACCTTCAAAGATTAAATACTGGCAGACAATTTGGAACCAGATTTTCTCTCTTTTAATATAAATACAATCTAGAATACTTTTCACTTATCAGGTAACTGCCTTTGTTAATGTATGATAGTCAACACAAACTTATCAAATATAGAATAATGATTATTAAAAGTGATTACTTTTGCCTGGCCAGTGTGGCTCAGTGGTTGAGCATCGACCCATGCACTGAGAGGTCACCAGTTCAATTCCTGGTCAGGACATACACCAGGGTTGTGGGCCCGATCCCCAGTGTGGGGCATGCAGGAGGTGGCCAATTGATACTCTCTCTCATCGATGTTTCTATCTCTCTCTCCCTCTTCCTTCCTCTCTCTCGCAAATCAATAAAGTAAATAATAATAATAATAATAAAGTGATTATTTTTTTAAATCCCCAAAACATAGTTTATTAAGAAATTTATTGTCAAAGTCTATTAAATCTTTCTTCTAGTCCACCTCAGTCTTACAAGCATTAAATATGAAAAGATAAGATTTTAGTTCTATCTGGCTTATGTACTACATAAAATACAAAAGAAAACAATATTTTAATCGGGAAATCTTATCAAGTTAAATAAAAGTCATTAGGGCTTAACAAAACACTACCTATTTCTTTTCCATATCTCAAATTTGTAATTAGAATTTCAGGCAGTAGGATTCAGTTACTTGAGAAACACGATTAACTAAACAAATAGAAATTTTTAGCTATTAATTTTATTTTCTATGTCTCAATTTTCATCTGCAAAATTAGCATAAAAATACGATTCTCCGTGGGACTTTAAATAATTTACTATTGAGTTTATAATGCGATACCTTACAGAAAAAAGTAAACATTAAATAAATAAATAGCTTCAAATTCAACTCAACAGATGTTTGATAAAAGTCCACAAAGGTACAGAAACTGTTCAGAGGCCGCCACAAAAATAAAGGTGAATTAAAAGTTTCATTATTTTCAAAGAGCTTTCAACCAAATATGGAATGTGGAAAAAAGACATCCCATGATAATATCACAGAACAGAAAAAAAACAAATGTTACAAAAGAAAGAAAGAAAAAACACGTCGATATGGGAATTCAGAGAAAAAGTGAAGACTCCTCATCTTGCCAGGTTATCTTTCTTGTATCTGTTGTTTTTACATGGCAATTATATGCTTACATTTATATGTATAACTCCTCAATAAACTCCTATGATGGCAATAATTATTACAAATATTATGTATATGCAATAATATCATCATTGTTATTATTTTAATTTGTTCATGGGTCTAGATGAAACATGGAAAATGGGCAAACGTGTGTAAATGAATAAAAGAATGAATGAGCACAACACTATTTGGTGGAAATCAAATAGTAATTTTTGCATGTCGTGCAACAGTTAAGTTGCTTATGATATAAAGCTTATGTGATCAAAACTATTCTTTTACTTGTACATTTTCAAAATTTTAGCAATAAACATCCTTCAAATGTTTTTAATGGAAATGTATTCACATTATAGATTGAGCAAAAGTTGGAGCTCTTTCTATTTGACATAGTTACTGACTTCTGTTTGAATGCATTTCAATCTATTTTGGAACACTAATGGAATGAGAAATAAATTCAGAACCCAGAGACAAGGGTTTGTATAACCACTGACAGCTACCAGTTAATTGACCTTGGGAAAGTCACTGATATTCTGAGCTTCAGTTGCTAAACAGGAAAATAGAAATACTACCTTGTTGCTTGATATTAGTGAGAGGATTAATTAGAATAACTCCTAGCGCTAAGCTCAATTACGCTTCTTCATTTTATTTTGAATAAAGAAATGATAACCATATTGCAGTTTTGAAATAAATTCACATCAGTAATATCTTAGTGTGCACAAAACATAATCAAATGGGTATAAATATCTACATAAATATATATAATATAGATTACCTATATACGCTATGACATTGGCTGATTTTCATTATTTTCAGCATAAATAAGCACACTCTTACCTGTTGGTGGGATTATCCCAGGAGACATGAGGCCAGGGACAGAATGTGGCATGATATGAGAGTTCTCTGGGGAAGTGACACTTTGAGTCCTCTTAGGAGGTCTTCCAGGTCTAGAACTGAAACAAACAAACAAAAAATTTTTACAATTAAGCTGTTGTCTTACACATCATTTCAAAGTTGTTTCAAGTGGTAACATGGACTGTAAATAAATTTGTTTCAAGGACGGTTGCTTTTGCAGTTAGATGTAATAGACTTCCATCACTAATTAGATTACATGCTGAATTCATTTTCCTCATTGAAGATCAGCCACTCTTGATGCATAATTCATAGCCTGCACCTCGTTACCTGCTTCTTCATATTAATATCTATACACAGTTTGAATTGCCTCGTTTGCATATGCTAAAGTTCTGCATGCAGCCTTCAGCACGAAAATTATGCACTAACTTGTAATAATTATTACAGTCAGCCTGCTATTGATTTATGAGACTTTTAAAAACCAAATATGTGTAGTACTTGTAATGAATGATATTTTAAGGTTCTTCAGGAAATTAAAAGGCAATGGCTGCCTAAGGAAATGTTCTGCTTGTTTGATTTAATACTACAGTTAGCTGGGAGGTGGAATGAAAGAGTGATTCAGACCTATAGCACATTTTTCGATGATATGTTTTATTACTTCGCACTGCTAGCCTGATATCTAGATGATAAATGACAATACATATCTAATGTGTGAAAAGGTCTTGCAATTTCTTTATTTTTTGTCATTTAAAAGATAAGTCAAGTTATCATTTAACCCTTATTCTATTTAAATGAAGAGCCCCACTAGGTTGCCTTACTTTTAATATACTAAAATAAATTGGAAAGGCTTAGGATTATTGGTAGGACATCATTGAGAAACTGCCAGTATAGCATCTTACACTTGCATTTAGGGTAAATAAAAATATCCTGTGCTTGTGGTGTAGTAGTGCTTGTTTTTACACGCCTATTGTACGAGATTAATTTTTTTAAATTATATAAGCAGAAGGTGAAGAAGAAATAAGTATTCACTATCCTTATATGAGAATAACATTAATGTAATATTAGAAATTTTTGAAAGCAACCTACTTAGCATTATGTTTACATTTTCTGCCTTTGTATCATGAATGTGCTTTAATATATCATAATTTCAGATGCAAAGTTCATAAACCAGCATTTCCATGTTAGTCTCCGCTAAGTTTTTTTGCCTCATTAGAAGCCTTAAAGATCCTAACTCTATTATTTAATTTCAATAATATACATAGTCATTTAACAAATAGTTATTAAGCACTTGCTGTTTTCAAAGTAGTGCACTGTGAAGGCTAATCTGAGAGAACCGGTTGTTTAGTCTCTAGACACTTGTGCCTTTCGGGTTTGGGTTGGGATTGGGAACAATCTGGTGCATCAGTAATTACGGTGCAAACTGGAATGAGCTAAGTGTCATAAGAAAGCTGTAATCTGATTACTAATTGGAAATTGGGTTGGCTGACAATACTTCCATGTTGAGAGAAGAGAGATAAGATTCCATGGCAGTAAAAACTTTAGAAGAGAATTCTGAAGGGTGAGTTAGACATGGAGAGAAAGAATGGAGGAAAAGTATACTCAATATGAGAAAGAAATGAAAACATGAAAATGTATTGATATACAAGACTGTTTCCAATGAACTGAAACAGGTCAAATGAAATGAGGACCAGAGATTCTGCTAGATACTGCTAGAGTTCTTCCCTGGGGTAAGGTCCTACAGGGCTTAGAACCAAGAGCAAGAAGATGATGCCTTTGTTTTGCAAATACACAAAGATACTCTGGTTTAGTGTTCTGAAGTATCTCTCTGGCTATTTATTCTTATTCTTCATTATTACTCTTCATCCTCAGCTGGTTCTTTAAGTTCTGTTACTTGCTTAGGGCCCATCAACAGCCTCCTAATAGTCTTCATTCTTCCTGACTGATCTTCCTAACGACAGCAGTGAGATGCTGAGAAATTTTGGCTAAATATATATTTGCAGCCTAGATCTTGCTCCTGGGATTCAGACAAGTTATTGTCTGTCTACTGGAAATCTCTGCTTGGATGTTCTATAATAATCTAAGACTCAGCTTGTCCAAATCTGAACTCAATAGCGTCACCTCTTTCCCAGATTCAGCAAAATGGCACCTAGTTGACTAAATTAAAAATCCGGGACTCAGCTGTGTCTTTTCCTTCCTTCGCACACTCAAACATCATCCCAATGGAGGCATCTCTCTAACCCACTCTCTTCTCTATTCCCACTCCTATTTTCCAGATCAATCCTTCATTTCTTATTTGATCTATAATTGCAACCTTCTGAATTTTCCTAAGATCTACTTCCAACTTTGTCCTGCTGTGAAGTCTTGAGTCTACAGTCAAGGCAACTCTTGATATTAATCTTAGAAGAATTCCTCTAAAATGTAAATTCAATCATTTTTTCCACTTGCTTAAAGATATCAACAGGTTCCTATAGGCTTCACCTTCCTTATCATGTCACCAAGATCTTCCAAAACTTGGCCCTGCCTGCTTTTCCAACCTCACCCTTTTATTACATTGGCCCTGCTGGATTCCTAGCAGTGTTTAAGTGGCTTCAGTGTCCTATTACACTACCTTATCAATGCTGCCTCCTTTGTCACCAAAGCCCTTTTCTATACCAACCCACTCACTCTCCTCCCCATTTTACCAGGCTAAGCCTTAATCACTTTTCTTACTAACCACGTCCAATGGGCTTGCTTTCTATGCACTGTGATAGCCCATGATGAACAAATCTATCATAGCGTTTTCCTCACTGATTGTAGTATCTGCTTTGTTTCACTCCCAAGACTCTATGACAGAAAATATATTAAAGGTAACTTTGGATTTTTAAAACTTAGCTCAGGGCCTGGGTCACCGTACAATTTTTTTTATTTCATCATTTTATTCCAATGCATGTGTTTAAATAAACGTTCACACAATCTATGTAGCCTTTCCCCCCAAGTCCTCAAGCATCCTACCTCATCCATTCTAGTGGTCTGAACGATTCCAGGAAATGAAAAGGCACGAAAATTAACCTTGCCACTCTGAGTCTAAGGACAATGAACATTGGGAGACCAGAAATAGAGAAGAGAGGTACTGGGAGATCTCAGCAATATGCCTTGGAGAAAGTCAGAAAGGAAAGGGAAGTTAAGATTTAAATGTCTTTGCCCTTTAATTTGATTTGCTTTTTAAGAAAATGAAATTGTTTAGAAGCACTTTATTACTCAGGCCACAGGAGCTGTCCGCAGGGCCCTGACTCAGGGAGTAGAAGGCAGCTATGAAGTAGGAACACTTTTATTTCATGCTGTGGTTAGAACAGACCCAGTGGGGTTTTTTCACCCCTGATATCTCCTGCTCAACCTATGACCTTGCCTCCAACTCACCAATAGAGATTTACTGCTTTCGGTTTTAAAGCTTTAAGATCTTTTAAAGCCTTTCTTTAAAATGCAAATACCCTTGATGGTGGTAACACCCTAAAGCCATCAGCTAACACCCTACTGAGGATTCCTTTACAATTAGGAGAGAGCGTGGTCTGAGACACAGTGCAAACAATGGAGGGAAGGGAAGATTTGAAGGAAGTCAAGCCACCTACACTTCTGCCTGAGAATCAGACTAATGGGAACCTTTCAGTGGAGTTATTTCCAACTTCCTGATGGAGGGCAAGTTCGATTTTTGTTTTTGTTTTTTATCAACAAAACTTTCCTCTATCCCTTCATCATCTACACGTAGGTTAGGTTCCCTTCCCGGAGTCCTGGTCACTAACTGCTAGAGGGTCTGACTTCAGGGAAGATACCCTAGTTGTTAAAAAGTTACAAAATATTTAAATAACTTTCAACAGAAGTTGAGGGGGTTTCCAGGAGAACGTGTGCAGTGCGGCAGCCGAGCTCTGGCTGCGTTGCCCAGACACGTCTGCCTTTGAGTCCTGGCTCTGCCAATTTACCAGAACGTGTGTCCTTACCCAAGCTACCTGACTTCTCTAAATACCTGGTAAAACGCAAGATTTTTTAAAAAAATCAGTGGGCCTGTGTGCTTTGTTAGAAATAAGTTGTTTTGGGAAAGAAAAACAAAAACTTGACTAAAGTGGCAGTGAAACAACCCGCTGAACCCTTTCCTGGGGAACAATCATCTGTGCCAGCACCGGCCACCTTCAAGCCTCCTTCCCCACAGCAGTAGCAAGTTCTACTCCCAAGGATCAGGACAGCTGAACCCTCCTAGTTCTAATCAAAGCAGAAGACCTCACTTAAATAAATTATTACCCTTAACAGCTTGAATAAAATCAAATTTATGACTTTGGTAATTGTTTTTGCCAGCTTCACGCAGGAGCCGTGGCGCAGCCCTACGTGTCCTCAGCCGTCTGCATGGAGCGAGGAGAGCATGGCTTCGGATGTCCAAAGCCACACTGCATGTCTCGCTGAGCACCCGCCCGCACACTCTTCCTGCGCTTCTGAATATAACATTTTCTTTTTAAGACAGATCACTGCATAGACTTCTCGCCTTAGTTTACACCATGAAATATGTCTCATGCTAATTTCCGCCTCTCTCCCACAACTATATAATGTTTACCAATTCTTCCTAGTCCATTTATTGTGCCTATTGAGGATGAAGTCAAAGCAAACTTAACAAAAGGAAACAAAATATCAGTTAATAAGAAGCTAAGTGCAGCAAAAGAGTAAGAGGCATTTGAAATTTTAGAGGGAAGGAACATGACTCCTCTTCAATTCTACCCTTCTCCCTGGGCATGATTGTCTGCTAATTTCTTCAGTAGTTTTTGAGAAATTAAGTTCAGATCTCTTCCTGAGAGCTGGAGCGAAAAACAAAAAAATGTAAAAAATGTCCAAGTAGCTAACTACCTACCAGAAAATTTGGTCCCAAATCCTACCTGCTTAAAGAAGGGTTCCGTTCAATCATTCAATTCATTCATCCATTTATCTAAGGAAAGGAGCTGACGCTGTACAACAAGCGATAGGCTAGATATTCAGGTTGCAAGAATAGAAGCACACTCCCTTCCTTGAGAAGGAAAATAAAATTAAATAGCCTGTGGGATAATAGTGCAGAAGAAAAATACATGGCAGCAAGTGAGCATTGATT